ACATGATAGATATGTAAATTTATTTTAATTCAACCTTTCTTTTTCATATCCAATCAAGAAGCGAGAAAAAAAAGCAACGTAGACTTTCTAAATTATTATAATCATCGGCATCACACATAAAGCTAAGAAACAACTAAACGTGAGATATTTTGTAGAGTAAAAAAGAATGAGATCATTGAACAGCACGTTCAATGAATACCGAGAAAAAAGGACAGATCACATTACGAACTGTAAATGATCTCGTATTTATCTTTAAAAGCTTTCAAACAGAACAAAAAAAATAAACCATATTATTTGTAAAAAAAAAATATAGTAATGCCAACTAGCCAAGAATGTATGTCTATCGAATGATCACGTCGTTTTTTCATTATGTATCAATAAAAGATATTCTTAAAAGTTGTTTATCAGCTTTTGTATTATTAATGATCGCTGTAATGATATTTATTATGGCAATAGAAAAACAAAAATAAACAGAATAATAAAAATCGTTTAAATGATTTTCAAATAGCAAAAGATTTATATGAAAAAAAAACAATATTGATGAACTTCGTCGCAAATAAGGTCATGTTTTAGAAAATCCTCGTCCTGAACAAGGTCATCTATTAAATAATTAATAATGTCAACAAGATTTACAAATGGCAAAAAACAAGTCGGTTATATTTTATCTTAAGTACATATCTTAATGGCATATCTCAACTATCAATCAAATATAATCTTACACCAAATAAAAAAATTAAGTCAAATAGTAGTTCCACCAAAAACATTAATAGCATTTCTACAATATAATCCAAAAAGAAAAAGTTTAGTATTTAAACGACTTAATGAGTTAAATTTAATTCGAGATTAATATGGTTGAAGCCAATTTTAGTAATGTTGATCTAACCAATATATGCGGAACTCGTAGAATTCTAAGTTACTTATCATTAGCTGTTACTTCGAGAGGTATAACATTGTCTCTGTGATACTGGAAACCACTCAAACGGCTTTCAGCTATTCAAAAATAAAGCCAAATTGGGTAATTGACTGTGCTGAGTTTCATGATAATTCAAGCGTAGAGTAGCTAGTAGTACCATTCAGAGTTTGTTTATCTATGAACTAAGATTTTGAGAGTCTTACCATTTCAAGTTCAGATTGCTGCGAAACTGAAATATGACATCATCATAAAACTCCGTGCAGTCAGTTAGCCAGTTTGAGATTATTTTCGAATAGCTGAGAGTCGTTTGAATGGTTTTCAGTATCACAGAGACAATGTTATACCTCTCGAAGAACTAAAGATAGAAGCGAAGCATTTTGAATAACAAACATTGTGAATTATGTCTTTATTATAGTCGCGAGTTCATGCCATGGCTGTGGATCATCAAAGAACACAAAATTGAGTTGAAAGCATTGTCGAAGCAAATGCGACAATGAATTTTTATTTCCACCAACGTTAGATTACATGAGATATTAACCATAGTTTTCTCGTTATTTTGTCTAGAGAATTAATAAAAAAAAATTAGATGTGAGTGTGGATGTGTGATTGATAATATTAGGACAGAATTGAGAAGAGACCGAAATGAGAAATCATTGAATGGGACCGAATCGGGGATTAACTCTGCAATACGTTTATGAAGTTTCTTTTCTTGTGAATAATTAACTTAAGCGTCACACTGTATTATTCAATCAAACAAGAAAGACAAAATGTGAGATATATATTGTTACATGATTAAAGAAATGATCAGCTCGCATTTGCTTTTCCTTTTTTTCTTTAGAAACGATCACTAATTCATTTGATCTTCTTACAAGTATCAATCAAAGCCAAAGTGAAATCAACATAAAGCTTAAGCACGAAGGATATAAATCGCTCGCAAAAGAAAAAATATCAAGCATAACTAATAAAAATAAAAGGATGAATATTGAATTAGTTCCAGAACGACAATATCAAGCGTTCAATAGTGTCGCTGGTCGTCATCATCATCATCAACCAATATGGCAAAACATAAAAAGTTAGACGAATTATTCATTTAAAAAAGAAGAAATTGATTATTTTTGTTTTTCCTAGATTTATTAAAAAGTTGTTTTGGTACTCAATCTGATAGTCGTTTATTAAATCGAGATGGTTCACTTATTGATATAAATCGTTTACGACAAAATATTAATGATGAACAACAATCATATAAAAAACGTCATATAACATGGCCGTATCTATTAAATATTTATTCACCATCAATGACAAATTCGGATAAAAAAATTTATCAAAATCGAGCCAGAATTCGTTATAACAGGTAACATATGCATATATAATTTAATAATAATAAATATATATTTTATTCGATCGTAAAAAATAAAGATTGAAACGAACATGGCAAGAACGTGTGTCTCAAGGTGATTCATTTTATGTAACATTAGCTGATACAATATTAAAAGATGTTCGTCGTACTGATCGACATATTAAATTTTTTAAAAGTAAATTTAGTTTAATTAAATTTTTTGATGTATTTATTTGTATTTGAATTAATTTAGAAAAAAAACAAATATTATTTAATATAATGATGACTTATAGTGTTTATCATCCAAATCCAGGTTATAGTCAAGGTAAATCTATTTAATTTTAATTTAATAATACAATAAGAGTTATAAATAGGTATGACTGATATGTTAACTCCAATTGTTTATGTATTTATTGATGAATCAATGAGTTATTTTGCATTTTGTTCATTAATGAATCGTTATATGAGTTCACTTTTTGATCAAGATCAAATTGAAATAAATCGTCGTATTCGTTTATTTAATTTAATACTACATTCAATTGATAATGAACTTTGGAATAAAATAAATGTTAATGAAGAAAATTATCTGTATGTTTATCGTTGGTTATTACTTGATTGTAAAAGAGAATTTTATCGATTTAATCATGTTCTTCGTGTACTTGAACTTGTTTGGATTAATTCAATATCACCTTTTGTTATTTCACAATCCATAACAAATTATCGATCGCTTTTTACAATATTTATTTGTATATCAATTTTACAAGAAGATCGTCAAATAATTTTCTCTTATTCAAATGATGAAGATTTACATAAATATTTTTTTTCTTCATCATCATCTTCAAGATCTCATCGTTCAACTAAACGAATTTTACAACAAGCACAAATAAATTATTCAAATTATATATTGTCACAAAAATAAAACTTTATTCTTTATTTCTTTTCTTTTCTTTTGCTTTTCAATGTATATATCTTATCAGTGAATATAAATAAAAAATATTCTTAATTGCTTTGTTACAAAAAAAAAATATTGATCGAGTACACACTCTTGATGTATTCAAACATATCAGCTCCGAACAGAATTATTAGTTGAGTAATTATGTTTTCTAATTAATTCAAATAAGAACTAACACTTACATATAGGGATGCACCAATTTCTAGAACATGATGTCGAAAGTAACAGTTTTTTCCTTATTAAGAATGTAGTTTCTTATGTATTGCTGATATTAGCCATGACCGGTTTTTCTTGCTCTATTCGAGTCTGTAGTCGAAATTCATGAAATATAAAGTAAAGGTTTTGAAACTGATCGAAAATTCACATTTTTCAGTTTTTTCAACTAATTTCAACTAATTTTGATACCTGTGTTTTGAATTAGATACAATCTATGAAAAAATTCAGAAAGAACGTTCAAAACTGATCACAACTAGCATGAGGGATCGCTAAGAATTCGTTAATTCTCAATACTGGACACATTTTTGTAAGCAAGGATAAACCAATTCCTTGAATTTCTAATACGAGATTAGAATATTTCTAGTATTGAGAATTACTGGACTCCTAGCGATTCTTTATCGCAGTTGTGATCGATTTTGAACGTTCTTTCAGAATTTATTCTTAGGTTTTGTCTCATGCAAAACACAGATCTTAACATCAATTGGAGTTGGTTGAAAAAAAATTAAAAACTATGAATTTCTGACCAATTTCGACTACAGTTTCAGATGGAGTAAGAAAAACTGATCATGGTTGATATAAACAATCCCATAGGGAAGTACAATCTTAATAAGTAAGAAATATCAACTTTGATTTTATGTTCTCAGATTTGGTGCATGCCTACTTACATATCTGAAGATTGAAACCATGCATGTTTGTAATAAGGGTCTATGACACTTGCTCCCTAGAATATTTGCTCACAAGGGTGTAGATATGGATATAATCATCTACATAAAAATGACTTGTATACGTTTTATTTTTGGAAACAAGAAAAGCTAAATTTTGATGAATCTACCTTAAAAAAATATTTTCAATATTTCCGTGACATAATATCTGTTAGAAACTTCGGACCAAATATTTGCTGTCTGATTAGTTTCAACCAATGAAAGCAGACATGAGCATTTTATTTTTCCAGCTATTGCATAGTCCATCTTATTTTATTAGAGAAAGTATTTTATTCTACAATAACTTCGGCGGTAAGTATATTATCTTAAAAACTAAATTGTATTATTTTACAAAATAAATTATATTCTTTTTTTTATTTAGATCAATATCAACTATAATTCTATCGACAAGTATGATTGAAAAAAAAATTATATTTTTATATTTACGGGAAGGGAAAACAAAAAATTCATTCCTCTCACTTATGAGAAGTTCATGAGAATACAACAATAAATGATGTCGTATACGAAAATTTACAATAGTCATAATTCTCTTACTAGATTCCTAAGAGAATCTCTTAAATCTCCAAGAGATCGATGCCATGATTCCTCGGCGAGGTTTGAAGGGGCACCGTAGGGATTCTTTTATGAAAAATTGACTAGAGTTACTAATGCATTAAAAAACATTGTAGATTAATTGCGATTTTAATGACACGAAAACATACATGAATTATTGTTTTAGATTTTAATAATATTTTTCCTACCTAGACAATCGCGACCACAGATTGTTTGAACTGTATAGGAATGCATTTATATCTAGAGTGTTTTAGATTTAACGACAAATTTTATCTTAAATATCCACCACTTACGATAACAGAAAAGATTGTAAATGGTTTGTATTGAATTTAAGATTGTCTCAAAACAAGATGAAGTATTGGTCGCACGGTCTGTAGTGCAATTATTTAATGAATTTATAGGATCAGTGGTAGGTTATCATTTGCCCTAAATTCTGGTCCTCAGATTCGTCCCTACATGGGATCCACATCTAGGGACAATTAAACAATTATGGTCAATTCTGGTGACCAAATAGGAACTTTTATTTAGGGACTTTTTTAAATATAAGATATGGCGTACATATCA